GCTGTCAAGGGGAGTGTGGTCGTTGATACGAAGAGGGATAACTTATAGAGGACGTTTTGCTGATATAGAATAAGATTTGTGTATTATATGTGTTGATATATATATTGCTTTTGCCCTTCCATCTAAATGGCCATTATATGTTTTATTTATATACCACCTACCAATTCACCATCACCCCCTATCCAGACCACCCATCACTCAATACAAATCCTCATCATCACTCGCCGTCCCATCCTGAAACCCCATCACCGCCTTCCCCTTCCCCTTCCCATTCACCCTCTCCTCATCACTACCCGTCGCAACAGCCTTCCCCTTGCCCTTCCCCTTCCCACCCGAAGCCGACCTCCCCCCCGCCGCCAAAGACCCCCTCCTCTTCTCGTCGTCTTGCTGCTGCTTCTGCTTCTTCTTCTTATCGTCCCCGCCCTCAAACTGCACCCTCACCCTCTCATAGTGCGCCAGCTCGCCCGCGCTCACACTAGGAATCAGCTCCTCGTGCGCGGCGATAAAGTCCTCCTCCCGCACCATGACGGCAATGTCCGCCGGCGTGGCGTAGTGGTCGAAGAAGTAGGCCGTCGAGACCTCGTGCTTGGTCGCCGGGTCGGCGTTGAGGGCGCGCACCTTGGCGTCCACGGCGGCGGCCTGCCGCGTCACGGCCTTGAGCATCGCGTCGCTGCAGAGCGCGTAGAAGTCGGCGCCCGTGTAGGTGAAGGGGAGCCGCTGGGAGACGGACGCGAGCGAGACGGAGGGGTCGAGGGTGAATCTGAAGAGAGGAAAGTTAGCATAGAATCTCAAAGCATAAGAATACGAAGAAGAAGGGAATAGGAGGAAAGCGAGTGGAGGGTGGGGGACGTACTTTCGAGTGAGGGCCTCCAGAATGGTTTGCTGCTTCTCATGCGTGTCCGACACGCCAAGATACAGCATCTTGTCGAACCGACCGGGACGCAGCAGCGCAGGATCCAGCAAATCAGGCCTGTTGGTGGCTCCAATCACAAACACGCCGCCCGCGTCGTCGCCGCCCGACATGCCGTCCAGCTCGGCCAGCAGCTGCGACACGATGCGGTCCATGACGCCGCCAGAGTCGCCCTGGTTGCCTCGCTTCGGCGCGACGGAATCCAGCTCGTCAAAGAATACGACGCAGGGCCGCGCGTCGCGAGCCCGCTGGAAGACGCGCCGCACGTTGGCTTCGGATTCACCAATGTACATGTTGAGCAGCTCCGGGCCCTTGACGCTGAAGAAGTTGAGGCTGTACTCGGTCGCGATGGCCTTGGCGAGCAGCGTCTTTCCGGTACCGGGGGGCCCGTAGAAGAGGATGCCGGACCGCTTCTTCATGCCCTTGGCGAACAGCTCGGGGCGCTCCAGCGGCAGCTGAATCGTCTCCGTGATGGCCTCCTTGACGTTGCTGAGGCCGCCGACGTCGTCCCATGTGACGTTGGGGATCTTGGGGGCGCCGATGGAATCGGAAAAGTTCTTGCGAGCGGCTTCGACGGCAACGTCAAAGTCGGCCGCCGTCAGGCATCGGGCTGCCGAGCCGCCGGCAACCTGCACGTCGCGCACCGTCACCGGCATGCTTCCGCGGCCAGACTTGGCGGAGAGCAGCTCGAGCCGGGCTCGCTGGGCTACCGAGGCACGCTCCACGACGTCGAGCAAGTCACCGGCAACCAGCGCGGCCGTCTTGAGGGCAATGGCGTTTAGGTCAATGGCCGGCTCCAGAGATACGCCGCGGTCTTCGATGACGGCCCTCAGGATGGCCTCTCGCTCGGCCTCGTCGGGGGCGCCCATTTCAAGCTCGTGGGTGAAGAGCGCGCGGACGCCATCGGGAACCTTGTCAACCTCGTTTGTTGTGGCAATGAGGACGCGGACATCCTCCAGGATCTCTTTGATCGAAGCCTCTATCCGATCCGCCGTCAGCGCCTCAATGTGCTGGATGAGGAGAGCGCAGCAGTCTGGGCCGCAGCTAATGGCTCGTTCCGCACGCGTCCTCAGAAAGCCCTCCGTCTTGACATCGCTACCGCTACCTCCGCCCTCGCTAATGATATCATAGGCGTCAATGGCGAATGTGTGTAAACCAATGTCACTGCAGGCATCCTTGGCCATGGTCGCCTTTCCAATGTTGCGATGCGTCGACGTCAGCAGGATAGCGACTGGTGGCATCTTCAGGTGAATGGCCCGCAGACTCGTCGCCGCAGCCAGAAGCTCCCGTAGCTGGCGCCTCAGGGGCGGAACATGCTGGTGGTCACGATCCGTCAACTGCGGAGGGCCGCCGTCCGGTGACCGTTGCGGCGTCTTCTTCAGGCCCAGATAGTACGGCCATGTGCTGTCCTTGGTGCCCGGTATCCGGCTCGTCTCGAAGCCTGACCCGTGCATGGCGCGTGCATGGCAACGGTTGTGCTGTCGATGCACGCGACACCCCCCCAGAGAGACTCGGCTGCCCCGTCTTCGTCCTCATCAGACTTTTGTACCTGGATATGGCCCACCTTGAACCAGGCAACGCTGTCGAGATGCGACAGGCTCTCCCCGCCGGACTGGGAAGACCGTGCAGTCAATGCCACTACGTCGTCGACCTCGGAACCGCCTGCGCCGGGGGACTCTTGCAAAGCACGACCAAGCTGGGCGTCCACCGGCACGGCGATCAAATCGCCCTGCCGGACGAGGCGCAGTTTATGCGCAAAATAGCGTTTAAGTCCGCCCAAGACCGCGGTCTGGTACGCCCTTTCGGCGGAGACGGGGGTCCTGATGTGGTGAATGGCGATGTCTTTTGCGTACGGAGGCTGTGCAGCGCTTGTGAATTTGGGCAGCGTCCCCTTGCCCTGGTAGGAGGACTTCTTGAGCGCCGATATGCGCAGGTGTGTGGCGCCATCAATGTTGGCAATCAAGATTGGTGAAGCATAAGCAGCTGGACTGGCCGGCCTCTGGACCTGCGACTCAAAGAACGACGGCCGGCGATCGCCCAGCTTCGAACTCGGTATCCGAGTGACAGGGCGCTGAGAATAGCCCTCGGGCAGGCCATATACACGGACTGGCCGCCAATTGGAGACTTCCAGGTCTGGGTGGTTGAAGCTGCCCAGCCCAAAGGCGCCAAATCCATTCAGGGGAGGCTCCTGGGCAGCCTCAATCCGGACCCAGTCTCCGGAGAAGCAGCCGATTTTGGAGAGCGAAGCCACATCAACGTAGATTCGAGCCTCTTCGTCGTCCTCGGGAGATGGCTTGGGATGTAAAAGGTCAGAGGGGATCTGCCTCCTCAGGCCGTGCACTTTGAATAGCCTCCCGCGAGCTCGGTCGGGACGAGCGGTGGTGGATGTAAAGTTGGAAAAGACGGAGCCGGGGGTGGCAAAGCCATTGGTCTTCCTGCCGCGGAGCGTACCAGCCGTCATTGGCGTTCCTGGACCTTGAGAAGTCATCGAGTTGGTCGTCGGCAGTGCAGGCACCTCCAAGGATATCACCTCGTCCATTGAGTCATCCGAAAGCTCCTCCTCTTGTTCCGATCCTGAGAAATCCGTCTCCGTCTCCGTGGCGGCCACCGCGTCGTCAGTCACGGCGCCTGCCTGGACGCCCTCTTCGGCAGCCGAGAAGAACTGGTCGTTGGTGCCATCCTCGTCGTCGTCATTGCCGTTGAGCTGCTCGCCAGTCGGCATGGATGCGGCAGGGCGGCCTTGTCTTCGACTGCTTCCTCTGCCCTTCATGAGTATGATCTTTGTAGATACCGTCAGGATGCCCTGCGCAACGGGCTCGCAGAGCATAATCTTGCCCGGGTTCGGCGGCAGGTGGGTGACGGGGTGCGGCGGCAGAGGCAGTGGAAACAGATCGCCAGAGTGGACGACCTTGAGGCCGCCGAGAGCTGCCCTGAGGGCCATGGCCACCCGCTCCTCTGCCGTCAGGTCGGCGACGTCCTTGGCGTTGGCATTTGTCGGATGGTCCTTGTAAAACGTGCCTTCGCCGTTCTCTAGCCGCTTCGTTAACTCGCTTTCGAGGCTGACAAAGACCGTCTCGAGCGGGACGGGGGCGACGTCGAGGACGAGGACTTCGATGCCGCTGCGGCTATGGCTGGACAGCTTGGAGGGAGCCACCTGCTGCAGGGCGACGGCGAAGCTCTGGAGGGCCGCAGACGAGGGCGAGAACTGGACGGTCGAGTGGTTCAGGTCGGCCGATCGCAGAACGGGGACAATGGACCAGGCCATGTCGACGGGGTTGGCGTTGGGGGCCCATGGCGCAACGGCAATGTGATGGATGTGGTTGGTGGGTTCGTCGGCATCTTTTGTGGCATCCTGTCAGCTTCTCTTGCAGCTCGGTTCAGTCCAACACCAGCACCGGTGCCGTCTCGACCATATTCTGGTTCGGCCGTCACGTACCATTTGTAAGGTGCGGAAACAGGTCGGCGAAGAGGTCGTCGGACAAGACGCCAACGTCGCCCTTGGTACGATCGTCGAGCACGAGCCGGGCGGCGATGGCGGGCTTGTCCTGACGCCGCCTGCGAATCCGCCTCCTGTGCGACACGACAGGCGCGCCGTCCGAGACAGCCATCGGAGCTGTGCTTGAGAGGGCCCGGGGGAGGGAGCAGGTATGGCGAGGTCGGGCGCAAGGAGCCGAGGGTCGTCAAAAGGAGTCGATAGATGGAGCAGCTGGGAGATGGACTAGACGAGCAGCTGAGTGACGGGACCATGCGGACGCTGGATCATGGCGCAGCAGAGGGAAGGATTAGGGCAGACGAGCAAGATGCACAGTAAAGGATGAAGAGAAGCTTGACAGGTGATCCGGGGCAATTGGATCGGGCGCGTGTCGGCGCGATGCGATGCGTTGCGAAGCTGGAGATCAAGGGTGTCGTGTCGGGTCGAGTCCACTGTAAAGCTGGAGCGGCCAGGCAGTGAGTGGCTCGGCTGTAGCCGCCAGCCTCGGCACTGGATTTGATGGATGACCCCGGAATTGGGTGAGCTTCAGCTGCAGCCGCTGCAGCTCCACAGGGGGGTTGGGGCTGTGATAAATGATGGATGAATAATAAGGCCATGATGATCCATTGATTTCCTATAAGTAGAGGTGATGCCTGATATCGGCCACCTAGGGGAAAACAATAGAGCTGAGCAGGGGGAATTCAAGACTTGGATCTGGAGGATGCCGTATGGCGCCTTGATTCAGATTGATCCCTCACATGCTCGAGCTACCCGAGACTTGGATGCATTCTGTCCTACCTGCACTTCAATCAGAAGTAGATACATTGTAAGATCCAATGTCGACGCTGCTGTTGGCCAATGGAAACGACTGCATTTCGCCTTATACGGGTCTTCCATGACTCTCCATCAGATGCAACATGCAGACTCCCGTCCAGACCCTTTCACGTGTAAGCGATAATTACACGTATCTTCTGCCTCGACTCTCTGTTCCAAGAAAATATTCATCTCCACTCCACCACCTTCCAGCACCGCGCCTCCAAGAGGCAAAAAAGACACTCACCAAACTCATCAAAGCCTTGAACTAAACCCGCCTAAATCCCAACTTTACACAAACGGCGT